GATATTTATGGATAGGAGAGAGAATCAATTTGGACCACTTATTCAATGGGAAGTTTATTTTGGGACAACCCAAAAAAGAAAGTGAGAAGATTAATTTGGAACGGAGGGAGTATTTCTTAGAAGTTCTTTGGCTATACAGTACATAATAAACAATTCAATGAATTTCAGGCACCCAGGGCCTCAAAAGGAAGTGCACTGAGATCTGGACGGTCTTTTGGCAAAGATTCTCAAGCAAATCACTGGGTTGGAATCATTGAATGTCTCAATTCTCTTCTCTGCACATTGAAAGAAAATTTTGTATGGCCCTTTTACATGTCTTTTTACCCATGATCTTATTCTTTATTAACATTGCCTCTACTTAATTGTCACCCCTCCACTGTTTACCAATTACTCTCTACTCTTGAGTGAAAGTAATAAGATGTGATTTTTTTGGGGTACCAGGTGCCTCCTATACTTGTCCAAAAGATATATACACAAACATTCTCGTACATCAATGTGCAACTCTTTAACAGGTGAACCTCACTTTTGGAATAGATCTAGTTAATTGTGTTCTCTTGTTAATATAGAGCCAGAGTAATTTTTTTGCACTTTGATCTATGAAGTCTTCTTCTACGTCGTGAATGTTGTACATTCAACAATGGGGAATATGTGAAAGCTGGATTAGCTGAGCTAGAGCTATGGTGTGCACAGGCTAAAGAAGAAGTAATGTGTTTTCACTCCAGAAAGTTCCATCACTTGATTAATAACTCATCTCATCTTCAATTTTCAAGTTTTTTTTCCTTAATTTGCAGTATGCAGGTTCTGCCTGGGATGAACTAAAACATATAAGACAAGCTGTGGGGTTCTTGGTATGTTTTTTGTTTTTTTGTAAAAATGTAGTTTAGGTGTAACACTTTTTTCTCATTCTGTTTTTCCCTTGTCTTATGGACGATCTCTTGATGATCATTGATTACAATACTATATTAAGCACTAATTCAATTTTAACTAAAATTCTTTGTAGGTTATTCATCAGAAGTACAGAATATCTTATGATGAGATCACAAATGATTTATGTCCTGTAAGTCTCTCATCCCCCGCCACATTGACATTTAGATTTGATCATCCACGATAAAAAAATGTCGGGTCCACTTTCCACTTCTCTCTTGATCTGCTACAATGGGGTTTTCCCATTTTACACGGATCGACCTTTTAAAGTCTCCCCCAAAAAAATCTCTAGTGATAGTCAGTTTGCAACATTTTTCTCTATCCCACACCACTAACACTTATATTTTCTCAGATTCTTAGTGTCCAACAACTATACAGAATATGCACTTTATACTGGGATGATAACTACAACACTCGAAGTGTGTCTACAGATGTGAGTAACTTTACACTCCCCCACTCTCAAAATTCTGGGAAGAGCCAAACTTATAGTAAGTTTTTTTTATTAAATTAATATGTTTTGTTCTCTTTGCTTTCAACAGGTCATTTCAAGCATGAGAGTGTTGATGACCGAGGATCTAAATGATGCAGAGAGCAACTCTTTTCTCTTGGATGACAACTCAAGGTTATGTTTCTTCTACCTATATAGTCTTGTTGAGATATGAGTAATATTTATAATATACTCTGTCCCTGGAACAAGTCCTCTTTGAGTAAGGTGCAACATTCCATTTTATTCTGTAGTAAACTCAATCTTAGTATAAGTGTTTACTAGGAACAAATGATCACTTATACCTTTAAGGCCTTGTTTGGTTCACCCATGAATGGTTATCAGTTAAGAGTATAGAAATCTCAAACTCATATACCTTGTGTTTGGTTACAAAAAATTACCTCCCTAAGCCTTTCTTTACCTTAAACCCACAATCCCTAAGCTCCCACCCCTCCAGTATAGACCCTATTCCCACGTCATTGCTTCTTCGGTTGCTATGCAATGAGCCAGAGGACATTTGAAGACTGTTTTGGCGACGGTAAGAAGACAATGACTGGAGCTTTAACCTAAAGCAAGCATGCCTCTATTTTGGGAGGAAAACCGAACCCTAATTCTATTCCCCAATACAAGCCAATACTCCATTTCAATCTATACTTACTAAACCCATACTTTTTCAACCTCGTTCCTAGTTTCAACTCGATACCTGAATTTTAACCAAACACGCATTAAAACTCATTTCCAACATCCAACATTGGAGCAAATGACTACGACCGTTAGCAAGAATAGCCACTCGGCTTCACAGAAATCTCCCTTAAAAATCAGCCTATTTCTAAAACCGTACTAATGTTTTTGGACAAAAAAGGTTCTTGAACCCATAGAAACTTGTGAGCTATCTGCACTATAATCACTTCTCCTATAACACAATAAATCTGATGAATCCATGATTGTAACCCTGCAGCATTCCATTCTCCATTGATGAACTTTCCGATTCAATTCAAGTAAAAGACTTTGCAGACGTGGAGCCTGCTGAAGAACTTCTAGAGAATCCAGGCTTCCAATTTTTACAGGATTAAGGCTGCGGGTACCTCGAGGCTCTTCTGAAATCTCATACAGTACACAATATTACATTGTAAATCCATTCTTTTTGGGGGGTCTTATTCTTTTCATATAGTTTGTTGTAGAAATTTTGCATTTGTAAGTGTAAAATCTATAGCATGACTTGGGGGCAGGGGGGCATTCATTCAGTAAGGTGTTCATTTTTTTTTGGCCTTTTTGTTTCCATGATACAACATTCTTTTGTGGGTAGATAGGGCTGGCAAAGCATTAAGCCATGTCTGTTGTAGATATTGGGTGGCCAAGAGCCCAAGAACATATACATTATGCTCACTCAAATCCACATTGTGGACGAAACAGAAATATATATATATAATGTATACAAGAATCATTTTGCTTCAGGGTTTATGAGTTATGACTTTGTAAAACATGCCTCATACAAATTTCATTTATAAGACCCGGATACATGTATATGCCTCATACAAATTTCATACAAACAGAAATATATATATATAATATATGTATACAAGATCCATTGCTCTTTTCTTTTCATTATCTTATTTTTATAAGACCCGAATATTATTATTTGGATCCTGGACCGTCCAATAGTCCTAGGAAAAAATATTAGGCATCTATCAATATACTTTTTCAAAATTTTGGCTAAAATATGTAGAAGAAATACATTGTGTTATTGGTAATTATATAAATTTATTATGAAATGTAGTTTTAAAATATAATTTTTTATAAATATACCTGGAGACTGGAGTAAACTTATATATATATATATTATCTCTGTCTCAAATTAATCGTCTCACTTTTTTTAGTCTGTTCTAAATAAATTGTCTTACATTTCTATTTTTCTATTAAAGTAAAAATTATGTAGTTTACGATCTTTCTCTTCCTCTCATCAAATTTTAACTACTTACTCTTTACCTTTTAACATTTCTCTTAAATTTTCTGAAGTCAGACTAGGCTGATTAATTCATAACGGAGGGAGTAAACAAATATTTTAATGAATTTAAAAGTATATGGAGTATTAAAGACGAGAAAAATCAAATGATAAAGAAATTTTTGAAAAGTTATATTAGAGAATAGAGAGTAATGATTATAATACTATACTATAGAGAGTATTAAAGACCGGAAAATAAAATGATAAAGAACTTTTTGGAAAAAATTATTCACTCATACTCCCATAATTTTTGGAATAATGCTAAAATTTATCACCAATGCTTCAAAAGATGACAATAATAAATGATTATATATTTATATTGACGATAATTGTCTGTGTTATAGATTAGTATCGTTTTTGTGATTATCATCTATGAGTGTAACCGTGGCGAGTTTCTAGCATAGTTTTGTTTAATTGATGCTTATATTTTTTTTATACTCCGGAGTAGTTTTTTTCTAAATTCATTTGAAAATGAAAATTGACGGAAGTATGAGTTCAACTTATTTTTTATAGTGAAATTTGCACTAAATAGGACTAAAACATAATGAGTTTTCTAATCTAGGACTTAAACTTTTTTATTCCCTAAATAGGACTTAATAATGTCTTCGTGGAAGGAATAATGTCCAGCAATGATAGACATTTACTTGAATAATGACTAATTAATAATGACCAAAGGTCGTACATTAGAAAATAAAAATATATGGTCCTATTTTAGGAAAGTCATTATCTTTTAGTCTTAAATTACTCTTTTTTATACTCATACACAGTATTGTACGTTCCGTTTCACGTGTGGTACCTTAAGAGCACACGGTATACCTATCACGCCCATAGGCGTGATCCTCACTTTGACGCCTGGGGGGCGTTAAACACCGCCCCCCTCCCTCGTTATTGGGGCGTTAAAACCCCCGCGTCATTCTTTTGACGCAATTTGAGGCGTGATAACGCCTCTTTCTTCTTTTTTTCTCTTTCTTTTTCCTCTTTTCTTCTCTATAAATTAAATTAAATTTTTTTAAAAAAATTCAACACAAATACAAATTTCTCTCTATCTATCATTTTTTTTTAAAAAAAATATTATTCAAATATTTTATTTATTTTTTCATGAATGTAATTTTTTATTTAATGAATGTAATGTTTTTATTTAATTAATGTAGTTTTTTTATAATGAATGCAATTTTTTTATTTAATGAATGTAATTTTCTTTATTTAAAATCATGGAAACTGACCTTTCTACGTTGTCGGGTTTCAAACGGATGATATATGAGCAAAGACAAAGAGGCGGGAAGGCGAAATATAATTTACCTTAGTTTTTTTAATTAATATATCTTTTTTAATATTGTCGTTTTTTTATTTTAATGAATGTATTTTCTTTGTATTCGTGTTTCAATATTATTAAATAATAAATTAATTTAAATTTATTAATTTAAATTTAGAAAATGTATATTTAAAAATGTAAAAAATAAAGGTTTGAAGCCCCAGTTTGAAGCTTCGGGGCTTCAAACCCATTTCCAGTGAATTTTTGATAAGTTAAACCTGAAGTGGGAGAGAGATTTAAAGCCCCCTGGCTTCAAACCCCGTATTTCCAGTGCTTTAACGATCATCTACCACTACCATCGGAGCAACTTGGTGGAGACGAGTCCCCGAGATTCAGATTTGGCCTCGCTAAGGAAGCAAACTCCATTGCCAGAAGCTTCGATCGGCACAGGGCCATCATCAATGGCGAGCACGTCTTCCACTACCGCCGCTATGGCTTTGAGCAGAGGCTTCGGATTTCTCTCCGCCCCTCGCACGCCCGCGATCTTCCATTGCCGCTGCCTTTCAACCTTTTCCGGCCGATTCTCCAGCTTCGGGTTCATCGGAACCGCATCTAGATTCGCGAATTTGCCTCCGAGGAATCCAGGCCCGACCCAAATTCGCGCTGTTTCGGGCTCGTTCGGGTCCCGGCTGGAGGAGAGCGTCAAGAGGACCATCGCCGACAATCCCGTCGTTATATACTCCAAAACTTGGTGCTCGTAAGTCATAAAGTTCGTCCCTTTGACTGCCGTTTCTGTATAGTATTTATTTTCTTTGAGATATTACCATCATCGTCTTCAATATACTGGTCGCTGATGCTGAGATTCTTGATTTTTCCGCGTAGGTATTCGTCTGAGGTGAAGTCTTTGTTCAAGAAGCTTGGCGTGGATCCTCTCGTTATTGAATTGGACCAGATGGGTACGCTCTGATCTTCTCCTTACCAGTTCCATTCAGTAGTTCTGTGGGATGATAAAGAAGCCTGTAAATTTGATGTATTCTTCCTAATTTTATTGTTCTATACATAAATCTCAACCGCATGTATTTATCTTAAAAGAGTCACAGATAGTGTCTCAGTGTGCGAATTCATGATCATGCCCTTTTGCTGGTTTTATAGCTTATATTTGCATAGAAATGGGTAATCTTGGTGATTGGTTTATGATTGTGGTAAGTCCCTTCTATTGGTGAAGTAAGAAGAGTTGCTGATGTGCATTGTGCATTGTTTCAGGTCCCCAAGGACCTCAGTTGCAGAAAGTGCTGGAAAGGCTTACTGGGCAGCATACCGTCCCCAATGTGTTTATTGGTGAGAGTGATGATTAAAATTATGCTCTGTATATAAATAGCATGGTTTAAATATATTGATAGTTACTCCGTACTATTTTATTGTCTAAGGCTAACTATATTCCCAAAACAAACAAGCACTACTAAGACAACCCAGTAAGCCTTGTCTTAAACAACTTGGGACATGCAAGAATTGTGGCTGAAATGAGAGTGAAGTGTCTACATTGCTTATAATGTTTCAAGGGTGCTTAAGAATGTGCAATGGTTGGTGGATATTGAGGCCATCCATATCTATGCAGAAGACATAGCTTTTGTGTAGATTGTGGTGCCATCAAGTAGCATTCACTGTGGATTGAGTTTCCCATGAGAGTTGCCCTGTTGAGCTAAGCTCTCGACATTAGGCATTCAGGTTAAGTGAAAGATGTTGGGCCTATTGTTGGGTTGTGGAGCATGGTCAACAACAACAACAACAACAACCCAGTTAAATCCCACAAGAGTAGGGTCTGGGGAGGGTGTGTGTACGCAGACCTTGCCCCTACTCGAAAGTAGAGAGGCTGTTTCCAAAGAGACCCCCGGCTCAACGTCGAAATTTGCATTGCTTGACTAACTGCTACTTCATTAATTAAAGAAGCGCAGACAGTTTAGAGATCCATTGTGAGTTATTCCATCACACCCCAAAGCCAAAAAATGGTGAAATTTTGGCTCCATCGGAGATGATGGAACATTTGTGGAGCATGGTCAATGTCCCATAAATATAGCCCCCTTCTGTCCCATTATAGTGTTCATTCTTGCATGGACAGATAGTTTAAGTGGATGTGGGTACCATCTCCACCCCCCCCCCCCAAATCTCCTGTAGTCATACATACCTCAAGCCAACCCTTTCTTTCCCTTTCCCCTGAATCTACATGACTTGTATGGGTGATTTATTTTTTATGTACATTTACAAAGAGCTATTGAAACAGTTCAATAATTGTTCTAACCACTGCTTGTTCTTATCTTTGGCCAGGGGGAAACCACATTGGAGGTTGTACAGGTAAATTTCTCTCCTTTATGCCACACACTTTAAACATATGCTCTCATAAGAAAAAAAACACACATATATATGCACTTCCCGACAATCCATTTCTTGAACACCCCACACGGGTGTGTCAAGAAGCAATTCACCCTAAAGCTCAAGCTTGTGGTTGTAGGTTGAGGAAAGGTTGTATACTGTAAGAGGGTGGCGCAAATGCTGACCTTACCTTTCTTCTTTGGTGTGTATTGCAGAAACCGTTAAGCTGCACCGGAAAGGTGAACTTCAACCATTGCTCTCTGAAGCTAGTAGTTCCAGAAAACCGGAGAGCTAAGCTCTCTTTGTCAGCAGCTAAAGACTATCCCTTGGTTGCCCTTTGTCATCTCTTCACATTGTTTTTTATATTTAAGCCTGATCATTGTTGTCACAGTGAAAACCATAATAGTAGCTTTGATTCCATAGTTTTATTTCTTTTTCCACTTTGCCAACTGCTTTGCCTATAGGACAATAAGGTTCTTGTGGTATGTCATTTTTCTCTGCCAAAAAGAAGAAAATTTATACTCCAACCAAAGTTTTTTCTGTTCCTCATTGGGATTTTTAATTTGAAACTAGTTCATTCGTGCATAATATACTACTCCCTCCGGTCTAAAAAACTTTTCATGTTATGAATATTTTTAGTTAAACAGTGATACTCTTTGACCATAAATTATGAGCAAACTATATTGAATTAAACATTATTGGGTTCATCTTAGGATATAGTTTTGATATATCAAATTTTTATAACATTTATTTATTTAGATTATGCTTAATTTGTGGTCAAAGAGCGTCACTGTTTAACTAGAAAAATCAAAACAAGAAAGATTTTTTGGACCGAGAGAGTAATATTTAGTCTCTTCCGAAATACGGAAATTTTTTCTTCGTCTCACAAAAAAAACTTTACTAAAATGAAAACAATTATGATTGGTACATTCATTACTACTCAAAAACATTCATTTTGTATAATTGATTTCATGTTTTCCCCCTTTCTAAAGAATGCTTATTTCAATTTAAAAAATGATCATTTTACTTTTAAAGTGCCTTTATATTCAAACATTTTTAGGGCTTGTTTGGTGGAAAAAAATTAGGTATGAATTTTGATACCTAGGATATGAGGTTTCTAAAATATGTGTTTGGTGAATTAAAAGAGAGTTTTGGATTGAATTTTGGATAAATCATACTTCTTCGACCTCATCTTTATATCTCAATGAGAGAGTTTAGGATCAATGCATCTTTCTTCTTAGTTCTCATTCATCCTTTCGTCTTCTTCTTTTCCCTAATTTTAGAATTCATAAATTCTTGAATCCAAAATTTTGATGTCTTCATTTTTTTTCATTTTCATTACTTATTTCGATTTTTGACCAAAGAAATTAATTGAAAAAAAGTATGTCAATTCTTTAATATGTTAATTTGTAATTTGGGAATAAAAATGTTTGTTCATTTTTCAAAAACTATTATCAAATTTAATATGGTAAATATTATTATCAATTTGAATTATTTTCCAAATTATGGTCAAATTGTATTTTTATCCAATGCCCAATTAATTTTTTCTTGTTTGCCTAAAACATCTACATAGAATTTTTTTATCCGTCTTTTCAATCTTATCCATCTCTCTTGTTTTGATTAACTTCGCCTTAATCATCCACATTCATTTTGGAAAAAAATTGCTTGATTCGAATCTGTTCCAGACCGCCAATAATACTTGACACTAAACAAAATATAAAGCTAAAAATAACTTTGTCGCCATTTTTTTCGTATAACTTTTTATATTATTTTTTACCATATAACTTTAATACGTATTTTTAGTTCTACATCAATATTTATTTATCTTGATTTGAAAATAACCATCATTCAAAACCTTATTTTGAGACTATTGGATATCTCCCAATAAACTACTCCAAATCCCCGTTTTACAGCCCATTAAAACAAACTACCCGTTTCTATTCTTATCTTCTTCTTCTCTTATCCTTCTTCTTCTTCACACAAAGCTTCTCATCATCCTCCGTCAATTTTCTTTCTTCTTTGTCAATTCAACTGTATTAGGTATGTTTCTTTTCCTCTCTTTCATCTTCTAGTTTTAGAATTTTTATAATCAAACTTTTGAATCCGAAAATTTGATGCCTTCATTCCCAATTTCATCACTTGTTTCAATTTTTTTATTATCAATCTTTTGGTTATTCTTTCTGAATTTAAAAAGGCATGCTAATTTTATAAATTTAACCGGATAGAAAATTGAAGCTATTTTTTTAAGAATCCAACGCGTTAGTCTCCATTTTCTGCTAGGGTTTGCCTATACGGATTTGAGAAAAGCAATTGCTTCAGATTCGAAGAGTTCGAAATCGGAAGAAAAAATTGAAGCAATTACTTGCGATCCACTTTCCCCTGTTTTGAAGTGGAAGAGTTCAGAAATGAAAGAGTGAGAGGGGTTGATCGAATTCTATTCTTGCGTTTTGACTTGGATAGGACCAAGATAGCTCACGATGAAGAAGATGAAGAAGGCATGTGTCTATTTGCCTCATGAAGTCATCATGCAAATCCTTAGGAGACTCCCTGTGGAGCTGGTGGTGAAATGCACCACCGTTTGCAAGACGTGGCTCGGTATCATCAAGGACCCGTACTTCATTTCGAGCCATCTTGAGGCTGCGGTCCTTCACAATGACCTTCTCCTTCTTCACATCCCTGGCGGCAGTCTAAGAGAGGGTTTTCATTTGTATCGTGACAATGACTCCTTTGAAAGGTATAAGACGCTCTACTTGCCCTTCTTGTGTTGTGGATTTAGGGGTTTTAGAGTTGCTGGTACATGTAATGGGCTGATTTGTCTAGCAGATGTGGATGGTGGTTATCACATTATGATTTTGTGGAATCCTTCCATTAAGAAGCATTTCATTTTGCCCGAGCCCGAATTGCCTTTCGAGATCTTTAGTGATTCTACTCTAGGTTTTGGGTTTGATTCGGTGTCAAATGACTACAAGGTACTTCTAGTTGTGCCTGTGAGCGAAGATGCAGACTTGACGGAGGTTTGGTTGTTTTCCTTAAATAGGCGTTCCTGGACAAGGCTCAGTGAAGTCTCTCCCAGGCATACTTGTTTTGGACTTAGGCAGGCAGCATTTGTGAAAGGTGCTTTGCATTGGCCTGGATATATGAAGCACGAGCGGCGGTTCACACACGTGATTATGGCTTTTGATTTAAGCACTGAAAAGTTTCATGTGATAAATTATCCCGACACTTTATTAGACCATGATTTTGTACCCCAAATGACCTTGATTAACTATGATGAATCCATCGCAGTGGTTACAATGGGGAGCTTTGAAGATTTCGACGACGCCAGGAAACCTGAGTTGTGGGTCATGAAGGAGTACGGTATGGATAATTCGTGGACGATGGTGTTACATTCAGATGGCGAAGAAAACGAGTTGGTTTTTGATTCACACTTCGTGGTTGATGTGTTTGGGGTTAGGAAGAACGGAGAGGTTTTATTGAAAGTGAGAAGGATGTATAGGTGTGATTACAAGCTAGCTTCATTGGGTCTGAACTGCCATCAAGAGGAACATCATCATCAGCAGCAGCAGCAGCTAAAGCATCTTGTTGGCATGGGGAAAATTAACGATTGGTTTGTTGGACGCTTCGTCGAGAGCCTGGTGTTACTTGACAATGGGGAAGAAGATAACAAGAGGGCAGCCAGAATGAAAGTGCAATGACACTAATTAGCACCATCACTCCTTTTTCTAGCTTACATGTCCTTTGCAATTATATATACTCACTCCGTCCCAAAGACTCCTCCTTTCTTTTTTTCTTGTCCCACAAACTCCTTTCCTTTTCTATTAAAAAACCACTTTTACCCCTACCAATTCTTAACTTTTTCCTAGAAGTCAAAATGGGAACATCTTTATGGGACGGAAGAATTTATGGGACAGTAGAAGTATATATATACAGACTAGCTAGGAGTATATATAGTATATCTATTTGACTTGTGAAGGAATATATAATGTACCCTTGTTTGAAGGTTAGCTAATTGTTTTGAATGTTTTTTCGAGCTAATTTTTATTTTAATTAGTTTTTTGTCGTATCATATCGTATAATCTTAAAAGCAATCCGGTGGCGCTGCCCTCGGACCACTCCGGATAGAATTAAACCTTTCAAATTGGCATAAATTCTTCTATTTTTTCATTCTTTTTCTTCTGATTTTTGCTTCCCTTTCAATTTTAATATTTTTTTTCACTGTGCTCACTAATAGGATTTCTTTAGAATTTATTTCACGTGTGCTCTGTCATTCTTACTGCATGCATTGCTTGATTTCAATTTTCAATTTCCATAGCTCTTGTTTTAATATGTACTCCGTATGTAATTGTGTAAGTGTGTCACGTTCAGAGGTGGACCCATCTGGACCCATCTTGAGTCCTATGGGGTCCCGGGATCCCACGGACCCCGGTGTTGGTACATATATGTATTTGGTTTTTAAAAATATTAATATATATAAAACGCGTAGCTCCTGGCAAACAGAATTGTGTTTGGTGTAGTGGAAGCGTGCGGAGCAATGGACCTCTCTTCCCCAATTCTCTATTTTGAATTTTTGATTTTGAATCCTAACTTCTGCGATTCTCCGTCTCTCTTTCCCATCGCCCGCCGGCCTCTATTTGCCGTTCCATTGAAATTTGACCACACTCCACAGCGGCAGCCCCGACAAGTAATTAGTCTAAAAAACTTTTCTTTATTTTATAAAAATTAATTTTTATGGTAGTTTGAAGTTTGATATATGATTAGTAATAATATTTTATAATAATATCTTTATGGTAGTATAAATATATACTTTTTATTCATTACTTATTAATTTTTATGGTAGTTTGAAGTTTGATATATGATTAGTAATACGAGTAATATTTTATAATAATATTTTTATGGTAGTATAAATATATACTTTTTATTCATTACTTATTAATTAAAGAATTAAAGTTTTTTCTTCAATAAAAAATTAATTTAGGATTGCAAGTGATAAGTATTGTTGTATTAATGTTCATTTTATGTCTAATTTATGTAATTAATGTTAATTTTTTATTTACATAATTTAAAATGCAAAGGTACTTCAAAAAGCTACCCAAATTCAAAGATTCAGAGTCAAGTGGAATTGGTAACAGTGTTAGTGCGCCGGTGTCTCGAGTACAGTTGTAAACGATATTATTTTCGTATGACTTTATTTCTATGTATTAATTATGGTACTTTTCAAATATTAATTTTAGTTTATTGTTAAATGTTAAGACTCATAAAGTAGTTTGAGATGAGAATAGGAGGTATATGACCCCATAGTTGTAAAATCCTGGATCCGCCTCTGGTCACGTTTAGATGCGAATATTATCTATATTTTAAACCAAGTTGATTGTAAAAAATGAAAAATTCATCAAAACTATGGCCAGTTTTCATCTTGTTGTGCGAAACAGGTCGTTTCCGATAACCACTGCTAGCAACTTAACGGCAATCCAAAACTTGCAAATTTCAGTAAAATTAAAATTATTATGTATATACCACAGTGAAAAGCGCGATTATTTTTTAAAGATCGGGTGGTTAGATTATTCAAGATAATTTTTCCATTTACATAAAGCATTTATGTTTAAAGTATTTCTTAAGGTGATGGGTTAATGGAAAAGCATCCACCAAATTTGCTGCATGACAAATTAAACCATGCAAGCCTTACAATCCTTTACTTGTTTGTAGGCTCTTTCTTTATATTTTGTCCTTCCAGCTCCAAATTTGCTTCATATATATTTGCTCCTTGGTGATCCCAATTCTGCAATTACTTTTTACTATTTTTTCATCAAGATCAGCTCAATTTCTACAATAATGTTAATTAATAATTGCAAAAGTACTAACCTAAGGAAGCATTTCGGGAAAAATAAATTTTAATAAAATTACTATAGATTTTAAAAATAAGTACGGAGTAATAAATAATTTTAGTACAAAAATGCATTAGGGAGGCGTGTAGTTATCATATCGTCCCCCCAGAAGCCTTGGTCTCCCGAGTGCACAAGGAAAGATACTTTCCTCATTCAGCTTTCTTGGATGCCGGGAGACCAAGGCTTAGTACAAGGAAACCTATTTGCTAATAAATAAGTTTTTTATGCTAAAAACTTACTAATTCCTTAAACTTGAATAGAGCCAGATTGATCCAAGAAACTTGGGAAAACTCATGACTCAGCAGCCACACCCATTGTTTGGCTGGCTTGAGCTTTTTTAGTAACTCTCGGATCCATCAGTGTTGTATATGTTCAATCTTATAAACCCGGCCTTTTAAAAACATGTGCGAGGCTCAAACACTAAATGCGAAGAAGCTTGGGGTGACTTTCTTGCACTACGCTAACAGGTTTCCATGCTGGCTTCGGTTTAAAATCATCGAGTATCAAATATTGACACTTGCCAAATTAAGCTCTTTACATTGTTTTATTCAAAAAATTGACGCTTCCACCACCTAATTGACCTAAACCCACAACCCCACTCTTAATTGTACTCCTAAATTTAATTTACTTAGAGGTAAAGAATTGTAACCCAAAGTTTATTAAAATTTAGAGAATATAATTGAAGGGAGTAGGAGTGGTTTAGATCAGGTGAAGTGGGGGATTAATAAAGTATTGAAGAGAAAAAAATTGTCCAATTTTTGAATAAACATCTTAAAGATCTCAATTTAACGTGTTGTCCTAATATGATTCAAAAATGCTAGAAGAACCTCAAAATATTGACACTATTTTGGCTCAAAGTGCAATACATATACACACAGACAATAAAGATTTGTGAGCGATTATAAGTTTATTGTTTGCGTGTGTCAGTGTTGTGCTTAGATCAAAATGGTGTCAATAATTTGGGGTACCCCTTATCTTTTTTGAAAGCTATTGACTCTATTACAAGGTAGTATCTGTTCATACTATTCTCAAGCTAATGACGCACAAAGAGCCAATGCTGCTGCCTTCGCTGGGGCTCGAACCTGAGTGAACTTCCTCATGAATACTGGGGAGTAGGCTTGCTACCACTCAAGCGAGAGGAGAAATTCGGGTACCCCTTATCTATGACTCTTGGTGTCAAAATAACTTTGGTCATTTTTTGCGTGCGAAACTTAATTTTTGACATTCCATGGGGCTACGTGGCAGTGACCCGATCACCCATGGGTGTACCGTGTGCCTGAGTACCAGATTTTTAAGCTAACTGAGTGCCCATCTGCGACCGGCCGGCCGCCCCTTAACGGCGTTTCGAATGTTAAAGCTGGCCGGAGATTTCCGCTCGGGTATGGCCGTCCCCGTCGCGCACTGCTGTGACCCCATCGTCACTGTCAGTCTTCCCCAATTTCGTTCTGACGGTAACCGTCTCCAACCTAACCGCCATTTCAGTCGGTGTAAGTTGAACTCCGGCGTTGCAACCGTCCCCGGCTTAACCCTACGCCGCCTCATAGTCCCGAGGAATTTCCTCGTCATCTGTTTTGCTTCAAATGACTCCGCTCAATCATACGAAATCAGGTTCTCTCTTTACATCTCGCGAATTTTCGTGTCCCTATCGTTCCTAGGAATTTCTTCGTCATCTGTTTCGCTTGCGATCTTTTGAGCCTTACTTTTGCACTTCTCCATTCTTGGTTTACATATCTGTGCAATATATAATCATGAATTTTGTGATTCGATTATGCATACAATTTTTCTCAATGGATTGGACACATATTTAAGAGTGGGAGGAGTATAGATTGAATCATCGAAGAGATTCCATCCGCTCCAGAGTTTGTAGAAAGCATATTTAGCACAGGATAGTTGTTCTTTTTGGAAAATATTTGGAAGCATGTGTAATCAAGTGATAGCTATTGATATCCAATGATAAACTTGAGTTTCATGTTTGTATCTGTATTCAGGCATATATGTATATACAGAGTATATATTTAACCAGGTTCTCATATGCCAATGAAACACCACTGTATCCGTGTTGATTTAATTTTTTGTTTAGTTCCACAGCCAAGATTAGGAGTGAGGTCCTTTCTCCATTTCGATCTGTTCGTATGTTCTTCTACCTTGCTTTTGTTGCAAGCGGGGCTCTTGGAGGGTTTATAGCTACAGCACGGCTTATTGCAGCGCTGTCAAATTCATCAAGAGCTGCAGAAGTTCCTGAGGTCCTGCAAGGTCTTGCAATAGATATTGGAGCAGTCTCCCTATTTGCCCTTCTGTATTACAGGGAGGATAGAGCTAAAAAGGCTCAACTACTTAAGCTCTCAAGAGAAGAAAGCCTCTCAAATCTAAAGCTTCGCGTGGATGATAAGAAAATTCTTCGTGTTAGTAATTTTAGAGGAATTGCTCGTCTGGTCATTCTTGCCGGTCCTTCATCTTTCATTTCCGAGTGTTTTAAACTCAGTGAACCATTTACTGACTCCCTTGTAGAAAGAGGCGTGCTTGTTGTTCCATTTGCTACTGATGGAAAGGTGTTTAATTTTGAGTTTGAGGAGAATGAAGAGATGAAGGAAAAGAATGCTCGGAGAAAAAGGCTATGGCAGCTTTCTCCTGTTTATGTAACTGACTGGACCAAGTAAGTTTACATTTAAGGTATACAGAGTAATTGAATACGGTGTGGTTCCTATGATATGACAAATCAAAACAAGATTCTTACTCCTTATTTGTTGTTGGTTATCTCCTCAATTACCAAACTTTAGTCATGTTGGAGTTTATTTTATTTTTGATTTGAGAAATAAAAATAAAAAAACAATAAAATAAGATAGAAATGAAAAAAAGTAGTATATGTGGTGTGTGCGGCGAAAGTGAATAGGCATGTGTGATTCGCGTGATGGTCGAATAAAAGAAAAAAGTTTTAGGTGATGTGTGTGCATGTGATGTGTTGAAAATGCTTGTGGTGCATGAGAAGAAAAAAAAGAATAGTTGGTGAGTTCTTTGGCTATATAAGCTGAATCCCTATTTTGATGTAAAATGCGAGTAAGAGGGCTTCTTAGAGAGAAGAGTGCGGGAAGAGGGCCAAAGGAGAAGATAGGTTAGGAGAGATGTTGTCTCAAAGAGGTGATACATTCTTGGGTGTTGAGAAAATTTTCAGGGAGCGTGAAGAATATCAATTATTGTATTATTATTACTCCGTATTATATTATTATACTTCAATTGATATTATAGTGGAAAGTTTTATCCAAGAATATCGCGGTTTTTCCCCTAGTTGAGAGGCTTTCCACGTAAAAAATCTTGTGTCGGTTTTTATTTTTCTGCACTTTATTTCTCTTCCCATATCATGTTTGTTTCTTTCATTAATTTTCTCAACATTTGTTGATTGCAGATGGATAGATGAACAAAAGAGTCTGGCTAATATCCCCCCTGAATCTCCAGTGTAAGTGTTCCGATCTTCTAGGAGGATCTTCCTCTTCCTCTTTATCTGCAATGATATTCGCTTCTAGAGACAAAACTCATTTCATCCTCTATCTTTAGGATGGTTGTCATAATACCAAATCAAAAAACTCCATTTACTAAAGCAAACTGTGAATCATAGACATTTGCTTTTATATTGCCATTGTATATCTGTCATTTTCAGAAATCTACAGAGTATTTTCTTTTATGTGGCTGTTATGGCAAAAAATGAATGTTGAGGCATTATAATATTGGTGTGCATAGGTATCTCTCTTTACGCATGGATGGCCGTGTTCGTGGCAGTGGTGTCGGGTACCCTCCTTGGAATGCTTTAGCTGTTCAACTCCCACTGGTAAAGGGAATGTGGTCCGGCCTGCTCGATGGCATGGATGGAAGTGTTTAAGGAGAAATTAGATTTTACCATGAATCACCACTTGCTGTAAAGAGAATTTACTCTTCTTTCCATGTTTACTTCCCAATCTTTCTTCCTTGATTTTTCTTAAATGCAGTCTGTAGGAGGGCAGGCATTCATATTGTTGTTGGTACATGGAACAAACACCCGGAACCTTTGAATGTGAAGTCATGTGTTTTGAATCTTTGATTGTCCATTTGGATGTTCCACGTGATTTGGGTGTAAAATAACACTGGATCAAAGGCATCTAGTTTTAGATATAAATATAAAGTATGTATTCATCAACCTTGATTGTATAATTGTATACAGCTTTGCTGCATTTATCCAACACCGATTGATTTACTTTTGAGCTTTATACAAATGTCAATGTCCTTTAATTATGACTCTACATTATGTAATTCTAACACAAGTTTTTCCTTGGTTCTTTAAATGGCAGCATCCGAAGCAGATAGCTGAGACGCATGTACCCTCATAGAGACACAACACGTTGAATATCTCAGCTCAGTTCACAAATTTGCCATTTGATCAGGTCACACTTAAATTTTGTTGAAATTGTTAAAAAGTCTGAGTTTGTTGATATTGTAGCAGGGATGATTGGTTTAACTCATTGACCTGAATCATCTAAAATACACCCTTTCAGTTATTGCAGTTAAATTTCTTAATGTCAGAAAAAGATGATAAGCTAAACAGGTAGTACTGAATGGGCACTTGCTCTTTCATCTTCTCCATATAGCAAAGTTTACATTCCTTAAAACTAAAGCTGATAGTTGGTCATTCGTATGAACTCTATTACTCTAGTGTCTAGAATTTTGACCAGATAGATGAAAGAGAGTATATGTGAAAGGGGTGGAGGCCAACTCTGAGAAGTATGATACACCATTTAGAGTAGAACTAGCCATCAAGCATCCGAACTTCAGAATACATAATAATCACACAAGACAAAATATTACAACAAGACATGAGCTTCATCTCATACGACTTCTTCGACTTCGTCCAATGCATAGTTATTGGTCGATACATTTGCATAGTTCACCTTGTTGAACCGCACAACCACCGGGTACCGAGTTTTAGGGTCCTGCACAGAACAATGTGTACTATTTATTACTCCATAGTTAAGATCATCAGTTGTTTTCTCAATAAATGGCAATAAATGTTGTTATATGCCCTCTTCTATTCTTCCTATAATATACTCGGTGTACTTATCAAGCTAACAGTCCTGCTGATAGATGAGCGTAGTAGAACCTGAAGCCCTACCTGATCAACCGCAACAACTGATCCGACGCCTTTGTACCAGTAAGATTCCTTCCTTAGAATTCTCACCTGCCAATTATAATAAGCTAAGATTGAAGTATACCAAGTCATGCATACACTTTGTACTCAGGAGAAAGTTTTAAAGATGCAGTTTGGCCTAACCAAACCTATAAGCTATGAAGTAATAATCAGCTTATGAAACTGAAACGCCAAAAAAAGTGATTTGTATGAAATTATTTTTCCCTTGGAAAAGGAAAGTGATTCTCATGAGAGAGGTTAGAATAAGATTATACCCCTCAATGGAAATTTAACCAAACATATTCATATTTAGCTGAAGAGGGATCCTTTTCAGTTTCCAACAAAATAGAAGAATCTATTTCATGGAATTATCACCTAGGAAAGTAAATCCGCGTTTTAAATTACAGGGAAATTGTCAATTCCCATCTTAATTAATTAAGGAGTATATTCTTTCCACTAAAAACAGTACAGAGCAATGCTCACCTTAGCTCCTCTCTTGGGTCCAATCGCAGGTTTCTTGGCAGCCTTAGCAGCCGGAGCTTCACCGGCGGAGGCAGCGGGCGGTGCAGTCTCATCGGAGGCCCTAAGAACAACAAGCCGCCTGGGGATGGCGGCGTTCTTGGGAGAGAACATCGGCATGCTAGTAGTCTTATGTGTGTTGGTGTTGGAGGTAAGAACATTAGGTGAGACCAACCCTGATGCAGCCCAACTCGCCATGGATTTGCTGTGTTTGTTCTGCAACAAATTGTTTCTGCAGAGAAGAAAGGTATATGAGTCTGGTTATGATTATGTGGAATAATGGCAAGAGTTGTAAGATTTGAGATGCTATGGATTGAATGGATGGATATCTTTTTAGTGGACAACAACCAGTCACGAACAAGAGTGTCATCTGCGTTGACCACTAGGATACTGCCACGTCACTACTATATCCCATTCTTTTTTACTAATGATACGAGTATATTGTATATCCATTACAAATAGACCTGGCAAAACAGAACCGGAACCGATTACCCGAACCAAAATATCCGAAACTGAAACCGGAATGACCCGAAAAATAAAGATCTGATCTATAACCGAAAACCCGAAATGATCCGAATCGAACCGAAACCGAACTAAATAATTCATATCCGATTAAAATCCGAAACCGATTAGATCTGAAACCGATAATATCCGAATCGATTAAACCCGAAATCGATTAGATCCGAACCCGATAATACCCGAAACCGATAAAATCTGAAACCGATTAGATCTGAAACCGATAATATCCGAACCCGATTAGAACTAAAATCGATAAATTCAGAACTATGTTAATGTTTGCCTTTCAATAAGCATATTATATTTTTAAATTTTTAATTTTATTTTACCATTTGAACTAATTACATTACTTGCTCATTCCCTCATAAAATGGATTATCTTCTTGAAAAAAAGTACAAAATTTTATGCCTTAAATTTATTATATGTAGAAATTAAAGATAAGTTATACATATAAATGATAACGCACAAACAAATAAAATTTCCGTAATTTTTAAATAGTGAAATGTGATATTCTTTTTGGGACGAAAGGAATATATGATGAATTGTATGGAATAATTAGATTTTATCTTAATTTTATCTCATTACAATAAATTTTATTGATTTGAGAGTTAATTTGATTAGTTTCAAACCAATTCACTCAATATTAGTCGATAAAATTAGATGCTAGTGTTAGCATTTTTAAAAGACTCTCTAGCAGCAGCCTTTATTGTTATCATTTTCAAATTTGATCTACAACATTATATTTAGGTATAAAATTAATTATATTTGACTCTATTAAATTTAATTTTCTCTATTTTCAACCAAATATACTCAATAATTTATAAATTTTGCACTCAATTGAATAAAATTCACATAATTTCACCCAATTTTACTCAATTTTTACCAAATTGTATTCAAATGGAACATAAAACTATTTGAATTTATCTTTTATCCTTTCATTTATATACATAAGTATATTAGTAGATGTGAGAAAAATTTTATATTTCAAAACTAAATTTTAAAATCAATTTAATTATATTAAATTTATATCATAATTAAATATATATATATATGTTTTCATAATTTGTAGTCCGAATTTGTAAAATATGACTAAAAAGTCAAAAAGGGAAGATTATTTATGGTAGAGATAATATAACTAGAAAAAAATATAAAATAATATGAGGTATTGAATTGATGATAGATTGATAAATGTGATAAAACATAAAAAGAAACACAGTTAGTTAAATTTTAATTAGAAAATAATATATATCCAAAATATATTTGATCCGAAACCAAAATATATCCGAACCGAACTAGACCCGAAACCGAAATATATCCGACTCAAATTGTATCCGAACCGAAATCTATTCGAACCGATTTATAACCGAATCGTATCTGAACCGACTCGAAACCGAACCGAACCGAAAAATGTATAGAACCAAAATCAAATCCGAACCGAAATTTAACTTATCCGATCCGAACCGAACCGATTATAACATATAACCGAAAGATATCCGAACCGAAAAAATCCAACCCGAAACCGATCCGGTTGATCCGATTGCCACCTCTAATTACAAACAAATGGTAGTCTAGAAATTTGGTAGGAAAATGAATAAAATGGTTTGGTACCCGGAGTTGATGAAAATGAAATTCAATTAAAAGTTGAAATTCTATGAAATTGATTTGGATGGAGTTGAATTTTTCAATTCTAATTCATTCTTAGCATCACCATTTCGAAATCCACATATTTTTGTTTTACCAAAACGCAGAATTGAAAATGTTGTTTCCAATTTCAATTCTGTAGTTAGAATTTCGTATACGAAACGGACCCTAAGAGGAAAACTCCGTATACCAGACGGAGTCTTTGAAAAAACATAGATAAAGTACTAAAATAGAAGCTTTATAACTTTTATCCCAAAGCAGGACTTTAGGAGTACTAATAACACCAATACATAGTATCAATCGACGAAATGGGGCAGGGGGTGCTAGGGTGGGGTGAGCAAGTAGAGAGCAAGGAATAGAATTTAGGGGGATAAGGGGAAGGAACTATCAGTTTTATGAAACCGTATGGATTCCGGGTCATAATATGACCCGAGGTTCAAGGGTCAAAAGATCCTTGCCGTATGTGTGTGAGTGTCTATATTTTCTTCAAACTCTTTCTCCTTATCGACTAATTATTCTAAAAAAGATTTATTATTATTATTATTATTACACATATTATGCTCATAATTATAGTATAAATTATTTCATTTTATCATCTCACTATTTTTATGATTGACATTGATTATTATTTTTTTTCAATTTTTTAATATGAATATTACTCTTTTTGTATATTAATCTACAAGATAAAATAAGAAAATATTAATATTTTAAACTATTTAAAAAAACTATGAAAAAAATAATCACATAAAATTTTTTTAATCTAAATTTATATAAGTAAAACATCAATATTTTAACCTAAGATATAATAATGGAATGGGGTGGGGAGTACTACATTATGAAAATCAAAAGATAACTACATTTTGAAAAAGAAAAAACGATCGAAAAAGTGAAAAAAAATCAGATAATAAATAATATCACCAATAATTAAAATACAACTAACAGAAAAGTTATACTTTCATTTATTTGATTTACTCCGTACTTTTTATTGACTCTAATATGTATAATATTGCGCGAATATAAATAATCCAATCATGCAGCTCTTTTTTTTCGAGTCTACCATTAAAATTTTATTTAAAAATAAAAGTCGGCTGTTGCTCATAATCTTCTCCTAGTCTCCTTGGCCGCCACCCCCACCTTTCAGCCGCCTCGGCGCCACCGCCTGCAGCTGGCGACCAGCACTGCAATACACAAGTCGCCTACTAGTCCCGCCGTTCAGCATCAAAAAATACAGTGGGGGTATAGTATGTATACTAAATAAAATCGCTAATTTCTGATTTCCCACACTCAGAAGACTTCCTCTGTTGCTCAAGCCAAACCAGCCGGCGAGTGCCCAACGCCGGCCCCAGCGGCATTCCGTTTTGTCTCTGTTCGATGGCGGCCCCTATTCCGTTCTCCGGCTGCGGCCCCAGTAAGGTACAACATACTCACATAAGCCAGTAAAAAATGTTAGATACTCCAGTTTTTAAAGGCCTATTTACGTTTTGTTTTTCTTCTGTTGTTAATCTGAACTGAAAGTTTCTTGCATTATTAGTCATTACATGTCAATTGATTCGGTTTCCGATTCTTTATTGTGTTTTGCACTTATTTTGATCAATGTTTTAGCTTCAATAGTTTAAGTGTTGCATCATTTGATTAATGATATGCATTTGAAAACTTTAAGCTGATTTAAAGTCGAAGGCGTGTTTTATGATTTTGTAGAAATGTGAAATTCCATCCCAATACCACTATGGGAGGAGTTACATATTAGTCCTTAACATTTCCTTCAAGGGCAACCTAGGTCTTTTTGCTTCAAGTTGTCATTTGCTTGAAAAGACTACTCTTTGAAGCTCATAAGCCAACCCTTACACCTTGTAGAAATGTCTGATTCCATCCCAAAACCAAATTAATTGGCTATGTGAGGAGTATTTCATATTCTTGTATATTACTAGTTTTTTTAGCACGAGTGTTCGGTGTGAAATTATATCTTCAACAGATTTTGCATGTGGAATTTTAGCTTTTATAATTTAAATTTAGGGAAATTTTCACAATTTTAAAAACTTGAAAGCTTGAGCATCCTACACTTACACAATCCATGCAACAAGATAAATGACTGCGTTTTGGCATTAAGAACTCTACTTTGAGCAGCATTTCCAGCCCAAAAAATTGGCATTTTGGCCACCCAAACTAACCAACATAGCCACTATCTTTTTGGACTGGTTTAAAGAGATATATATGTGAATTCTAAAATACGAGAAGTGTGGGCATTTTAACTTGAATTGGTTGTGTTTGATGTTTCTTTTCCTGCTTTGTTTTTTTTGGACCATTTACAGCTGCACGGGTAGATGTCGTATTGTCATCTGTAATGAATCGCCTTGTTGCAAATAGACTGGGCAGTGGACTTTCAGGCAACCACAGGCAGCACAAAGACTTCACAGCCAAGTTGGTTTCACTGATATGCAAAAGGTGTAGGCCTCTTTTCCGTAAACATTATTACTCGAGTTTGATTGTGCAGCATCGGGAGCATGGCATTTAATTTTTATATGACTAGGTGTCTACTACTCTCTTTGTCCCAATTTGTCATGCATGTTTTCCTGTTTGGTATGTCTCATTTTATCTTGCATATTTTCATTTTTAGAAAGCATTGTGATTTTATATTTATAGCATATTAAATTAGTTGAAACATTTAAAGTTTACAAATAAAACGTAAGCATTGTGCATTATGATCATTTCCATTTCATCAAAATTAGAACTTTAGAGCTCTAAAATCTTTTTTTAATTACATTGTGATAATGTTTTATTAAATTTAGCATTTTTATGTGTGTGATAAGTTAATTAAAATGAAATTATTTAGGTTATGGGAACAACCTAAAAATTTATCTACCCAAATGAAATTATTTTCTTCTTGTGTTGACTTGGCACGGTTTTTAAGAAAAGTGGAATTGCGTGATTGCATATTATTTAGAAGTAAGAGAAGAAATATGGAACACCCAAAAATTTCCTTAAAGGGAATTGAGAAGTTACTCAGTTAGTTTAAGGACAACCCAAAAAGTAAAGCGAGAAGAATTTTTATTTGTGTGTGTGTGTGTGTGTGTGGGGGGGTTTGTGTGGAGGGGGGTGGTGTAAAAAACTCAACTCAAACGGTGGTGGATGTAGGGTCTCAAAACCTTTTGGATCTCCCACATTTCCATCTCTTTACATAACAGCCACATACTTTTAGCATTTTTCTTGTCGAATTCATATGGGGTTGTTGTTGTTGTTGCTTGTTGAATTCATATGGGGACGGCGGGAACTTGGAAGCCCTGTGGCTTGTACAATTTTGTTACAGAGTAATTAGTACTAATCATGTTAACGAATGCTTTTGAACTGTCTCTATTGAAGGTGCTGTTTAAGAAATCCTATAATTTACAGGGGAGAGGATTGCAGAACCATGAGTGCGTTTACTACATTATCTAGTTTCTCCACACTCTGTAACTCGTGTCAGATTAGGCGTACACTAAGACAGGAGATAAGACCCTTCTCAAGTGCTACCTCACAGAGATTTGAGGAACACTGTGCTGCATGGCGAGCTGCGACTGAGGCAATCAAACAAGACAGAAAATGCAATGGTATTTATTTGAGCGTTGCCCATTTTCAAGTTACTCCAGATATAAACTTTGCCAAATACCATAATATCGAGATTAGCGACATCCATCAAACACCTCCTGGTAATGTACAATTTGGAAACTGTTTTGCACAACCATCAGTGTGCAACGGACAGAGGGGAATGCATAATGCGGGAGCTTCATCACAATCTCCATTCCTATTGCCAAATGTTATTCAACCTATTGAGTTGGCAACCGAAATCAAAGAAAATAAATTGGAGAAAACTTTTAAGCAAGATGGAAGCATTCCAACTCCGGATATGGAAATCAACTATTCTGTTTTGGGTGGACCTAATCAGCTTCAATCTGTGAACAGTACTTCCACAGAAAATTGCACTGCCAAGGCCAACCTTTATGAGGGGCATCCTATTGAGTTGTTGGAGACCAAAATTGAAGAAAATAAGTTGGATAAAATTCTTAAGCAAGAGGAAGGCATTCCAACTTCGGATACGGAAAGTAACTCTGCTGTTTTGGGCAGACCTAGCCAGATTCAGCCTGCAAACAGTACTGCCATAGAAAGGAGCACTGCCAAGGCCAACCTTCGTGAGAGGCAACCTATTGAGTTGTTGGAGCCTAAAATTGAAGATATTAAGTTGGAGAAAACTTTTAAACAAGTGGAAGGCATTCCAATTCCCGGTACAGAAAGCAACTATGCTGTTTTGGGTGGACCTTGCCAGATTCAGCCTGCAAACAGTACTGCCAAAGAAAAGAGCACTGTCAAGGCCAACCTTCGTGAGAGGCTGGAGTCCATCTATGAGAAAGTTCTCATTGTCAACAATATCTCACTGGCCAAGGAAGTTGTTAGTAAGCTTACAAATGAGTACAGGGATTTAGTCCACGCATGTGATACAGAGGCATGTCTTGCTTCTGTTACATCAATGTTTCCTCTCAAGTTTTTATGGTGCAAAATAGCAAAATAAACACTGTTTTGTAGAAAGACAAGCTTTATCCTGGTGCAATTGATTATCTTTTGAGTCATTTAGTAAATGAAGAAAAAAAACCATAATATGAACCGTTTCTGAGCTAATTCAATAGTTCACTAACAATGAATAGGTAGCCAGGATTGATGTCAAGCATGACACACCGGTTGGTCATGGAGAAATCATATGCTTCAGTATTTATTCTGGCCCACATGCTGAATTTGGAGATGGGAAATCTTGTGTATGGATTGATGTTCTTGATGGCGGCGGGAAGGATATTTTAGTAGAATTTGCCCCATTTTTTGAAGACCCGTCTATTAAAAAGGTAAACCTGAATTGTTTTATTGGAGGTTTCTGTATTTTGTCTTGTTTTTTTGGTAACCTTAACATAAGTAGGGATATCTTTTCCCTTATGGTACCGCCTTTCATAGGTATGGCACAACTATAGCTTTGATTGCCACATCATAGAGAACTATGGACTCAAAATGGCTGGGTTTCATGCCGATACAATGCACATGGCTCGATTATGGGATTCCTCAAGACTAAGAGAGGGAGGTTATTCTCTCGAGGCACTTACAGGGGATACCTCTGTCATGTGTGATGCAAGTGTGGCACCTGGTGAAGAGCTGTTTGGTAAGGTGTCAATGAAAACTATTTTTGGTAGGAAAAAACTGAAGAAAGATGGAACCCAGGGTAAGGTTGACATTATTCCATCTCTTGAGGAGTTGCAAAGAGAGGATCGCAAATTATGGATTTCTTACTCTGCCTTAGATTCCATAAGCACTTTGATGCTTTATGATAGTTTGAAAACCAAACTCTCTAACCGGATCTGGAAGTTTGATGGAGTTTATAAAGGGAACATGCTCAACTTTTATGAGAGATACTGGCTTCCATTTGGCGAGCTTTTAGTTCAGATGGAAACTGAGGGTGTGCTCGTTGATCGTGCTTATCTTGCTGAGTTGGAAAAAGTGGCTCAAGCTGAGGAGGAGATTGCTTCTAACAGATTTCGTGTCTGGGCATCAAAGTACTGCCCTGATGCAAAATACATGAACGTGGGAAGTGATGTACAGTTGCGTCAGCTCTTTTTTGGTGGCACTCTGAACAAGTATGTGGCTTCATTGAATTAAATCAATGTGTTGATCAAGAGTATATTTTTTGTTCATTTGGATACATGTCCTCGGCCTTGTTTCGAATCTAGTTTTTGGCTATTTGTGTTAGCTAGTTTGACCGGTGTTAGCTGTTAAGAAAAAATTGCCTAGCAAATTTAGTTGTTCATAAGTAGCAGTTTGTATATGAAATTACATTTAAGGACATGTTTCAATGTGTGATAGTTAGTGTTTGATTGTAATTAGTTTATTTTTTGAATTTTGATAAAACGCACACATGTAAGGGTCAATTTTATTTTTTTCTTATATTTATTTTCGTTGATTATTTTACAAAGTAATAATCATGTCACCCACTACCGTAGTATTAATTTATAAACCTTTTGATGTAATTTTTAAATATAAAAAAATTGTATATCAATTTTGAAATAAATTAAATTAACTTATTTGGTGAACAACATACGAGTACTAATTTAAAGAATAATTTCTAGAGTATAAGGTTGATTTAAAATTTGAAAAAAGAATGCCGTGCTTTGAAATAAAAAAAAGAGAGGAAGTAACTGTGAAAGAAGGTCATGAAAGGGAAGAAGGGAATGGCTGAACCTAAATGCTCCTAACCAGCCTTTTCATTTTGGTTGTTGAGAGCTAATGCCTAAATAAGAAAGGCCATCATCCAAACACTCAAATTGGCTGATTGATTAGTCAAATAGGCATAGGCATATGTTGTCAAAGAAGCCAAAACTTTGCTGATCAGCCATTTTGCAAACAGAGCCCTTGTATTCACCTCTTCGGGTTCTGCTCTTTTCTCCTTCTGACTTGCTTTTACATTTTCTTTCCTTTCTTTTGCATATAGAAAGGACTCTAATGAGATTCTTGCTGAGACGAGAGATTTCAAAGTTCTCAACACTGAGAATATAATTGAAGAAGAAGAGAAGGCTCCAACTAAAATCCGTAATATCACACTTCATAAGATTGGTGATCGCATTGAAACTGATCTATACACTTCTAGTGGTTGGCCATCTGTTAGTGGGGATGCTTTAAAGGCTCTTGCTGGTAAAATCTCGGCTGATTTTCAAATCACGAATGAAGCAGATGACAATAAGGAAGAAGTGTCTGTTTCAAACAACAATGAGTCTTCTGTGGTTAATAATGAAGAATTATGTACAAATCCAGAAGCTTCTGGGTATGGAACAGCTTATAAGGCTTTTGGAGGTGGACAAGCCGGGATAGAGGCATGCCATGCCATTGCCTCTTTATGCGAAATTTGCTCCATCAACTCTTTGATTTCAAATTTCATCATCCCTTTGCAGGTGAATTTATTTGCCACTTCTGATTTTGAGTGTACGGGGGTGGTGGTGGTTGTGGGGGGGGGGGGGAGTTTGTCTTCCACGACCTATCTGTTTTTTTATGGTGTTAATTTATCATGGTGGCATGGTGCAGAGAAAAAGTAAATAATAGGTTATTAGGATTGCAAGTAGTCAAGATTCTTCAACTTATTTATTTTCTTCTTAACTAGCTTCATCATCTTGTTGCTTTTCTAAGACATCCTATATGCGTTTTATAAATTTGGACCCATTCACAAGGTTGCCCAAAATTTTGAGTGTGCCACTGTATTGTTCGAAGGTCAAACCCTTTTATGGATCAAAGAGTGAGCACTAGGCTAATTGTACAAAGCTTGACTTTTGCATAAGAATGACTGAATGAGTTTCTTGGGCAAATTACGAAGCATCAATTTGGCCAATATCCCATCTTGCGAGCTTTCTATTTCTTTATTAGTTCTTATGTTTTGTCAGATTCATTAATCACGGGATACGTATGACAGATCATCACTCGCACAACTTTGGTTCATCATCAATAGTTAAGTATAAAAAGCAGTTATACAAAAAATTGAAATCCTAGTAGTAATTACTGGTGGTTCTCCAAAATTTTGTTGCTTGTGGACCTTGTGGGCGCAGATCCATCTTCTCTTGTGTAATATTGAGTACTGATGTTTTTTATTTTATTCCATTGACTAAAGCATTTAATATTGGTGTAATTTTCTCTCTTTAAGGGCGGGGAAATATCAGGAAAGAATGGCCGCATCCATTGTTCGCTGAACATAAATACTGAAACTGGGCGCTTGTCAGCGAGGAGGCCAAATTTGCAGGTTTTTCATGCATACGACTACATCTCTTTAGATTAGTATTTCTCAAGTGTTATGTACTCAAATATCCTTAACGCATTTGGAATTTGATATATCATGTGTTAGTTTCCTACAATTTTTATGAAATTATCACCCTATCTATATGCTCTTTTATGGATATGCTTAACCAAACCATGCATTGAGTTTGTGTATGATTTTTAGTTCTTTTGAAAGAAAACCAACAATGTCATTGCTCTACATTTCATATCCCAACAATATCAAATAGTAGTGAGAATGGTATTCCAAATAAGCACACATTTCTCTTGACTGTCCAGTGTCTTGTTTCTAAATTTTTTTTGGACTCTAATGTCTGTAACTGCTAAACATATATTTCTGTGATGCAGAATCAGCCTGCTTTGGAAAAAGACAGGTACAAAATTCGTCAGGCATTCATAGCTTCACCCGGGAATTCCTTAATTGTTGCTGACTATGGGCAGGTAGGTAACCATTGTGGATTTTCGATTGTGTTTATTAATATGAATATTTCTATCCTTTTTGTTTCATTATTTTCCCCTTCTGGTTCTTAGTTGGAACTCAGGATTCTTGCACATCTTGCAAATTGCAAGAGCATGTTAGCTGCCTTTGAAGCTGGTGGAGACTTCCATTCGAGGACTGCTTTAAACATGTATCCACACATACGAGAAGCAGTTGAACAAAAACATGTTCTCCTTGAGTGGAACCGTCAGCCTGGTGAAGATAAGCCACCAGTTCCATTACTAAAGGTTGGTACAAACTTTTTTTATTTATCATTCAGGTATTTTATATTCTTCACTGTTCTATGAGTAATTGAGTAGTCTCTTAAAGCATGTGACAAGATGCTCATGTTACTAGTGTTATTCTGAATTACACCATTACGGTTTGTGGAGATAGAATGTATGATATAATGGTTGTAGTATGACAGGAAAACAAGCAAATATGCCCCCCCCCCAAATCTCATAAAAAGTCGTATTGCTAATTTATTTAAAAACAGTGGTAGGTTTAATGTTTTCTAAGAGTTGTACATTACTAAATTTACAAAGCTAATAAGCTATACATTCATCAAAGTGAACTCTTATATGGGATGAGGGGAGTTGTAATGCCCTCCGTGAACAATTTCATGGCATTGTATCTCTTTGGTGAAAAATAAAGTTTTAGGTCACTACCCTCATTTAATAGACTTAACTACCACAATTAGTTTCCTCAAAAAAGGCTACCACCATTAGTTACTCACAATTTATCAAAAGGGAAAACTTGAAAGTCTGCAAATGGGGTCTAGGCCTCTAGGGAAGGCATGATGTATGCCAACCTTACCTCTACCCGTGAATGCTCAAATTTCTGATTCATTAAAAACCATGGCAAGTCAAGCCATGAGAACCATGATTTTTCTGGTCTGAGAACATTTTCATATAGAGATGTACAACAGTAGACACGAGTATCCGTTAATATGTTGCATTTAGTGTGCTGTTTTGCACAAGACTTGTGACATTTGTACTGCCTATGGTGTTTTGTATTTTGGTCTATAGGATGCATTTGCTTCTGAAAGAAGGAAAGCAAAGATGCTTAATTTTTCTATTGCTTATGGAAAAACTACAGTGGGTCTTGCTCGCGATTGGAAGGTATCTATTTTATATTAGAGGGGTTGGTGGATTTTTTTTGCTTGATGTGGTTTGTGCTACTGTGCTGACACCAACCTTTCACATGCAGGTTTCTGTGAAGGAAGCCAAAGAAACAGTAGACCGGTGGTATAGTGACAGGAAAGAGGTTTTAACTTGGCACGAACAACGCAAATCTGAAGCGCATCAGTTCAGATGTGTTTATACATTGCTAGGTCGGGCCCGCATGTTCCCTTCACTCAAATCAGCAACCAAATATGTCAGAGGCCACATTGAACGAGCTGCCATCAATACCCCTGTCCAGGTTTGTTGTTAGCATTTAGCCTTGGTTCAGTCCAAAGGAGGGGGATGGGAGGAAAGGGGTGGGAAGGAATATAGTGAGCTTAAAAAGATGCTATTTTTGGTCTGGTTGAGGAATTTTAATCGGAAAATGTTAATCGTTTCCCTTAAGGCAATTGTTAAAAAACAAAAAAAACACAAGCTTTTACTGGAAAAATTGAAGTTACATTTATCGATTATGAACACCAAAGAAGAATCTCCTTTTTCGGGTTCTTAACATATGTTCTTAGGGCAATGGTTAGCAGTTTATGTTATATATGTCAGAGGGGGTTGTGTGTGTGTGTGGGGGGGGGGGACCACTTCGGGGTTGAACGAAGCATCTTAGGACCCTCAAATGGCATTGGTGCGATATTAATTAAAAGATTTATCTCATCTTGAACACTCCAATTATGGCGAATGATGTGTTGACATTATGGGGGAGTTAATAAGACAATAACTTCTTCACCCCCCCCCCCTCTTTCCAAAGCCTTCCAACCAAACTAGGGTTTGATGTCCATTCATTCTCTCCTTTTTGTCCTTTTTGCGTCTTTACTCACCCTTCCAAAGAAGTGAGTCTGGATCATGTGAGGGATTTGTCTGGGAACATGTTTCTTTGGAGCCTGTGTCGTGAGTAACATGTGTGTGTCTCTTATTTACTTCAACAGGGAAGTGCTGCAGATGTTGCGATGTGTGCCATGCTAGAAATATCAAAGAACCAACGGTTAAAGGAGCTTGGATGGAAATTGCTTCTGCAGGTTCCCATTTATCTTTCAAAGAGAACTCTCACCTAATTAGCAAAATAATAAGGAAAACTTTTAGGGTATGTTTGGATCTCGAACGTGTTGCAGAAGCAAAAAAAATACTAAGTTATTTCTATTGCATCCTTTTCAGCTTGAACATGTTAAGAAATGCTCTCTTTGTCCCAAAAAAATACTCCTATTTCTCATATTATTTTGTCCCATAAAAAGTCATATCTCTCAACTTTTTTTAAAGAAAAAGTACTGCCTTATATTAGTTTTTTTTGTTTTCTCAAGAAATGTACCTCACTTCAAATTTGAAGGTTGCACACTCATCAAAGTACTCTTTTTATAGGACAAGGCAAGTATAATTTAACCTTTTACTTTTTTATACTCAGTTTTAATTTAAACAATTTTGTGTGTGTGTGTGTGTGTATAATCATGAATGAAGAGTCTACCCTAATATAATTAGTGCCATTTGTGTTTTCTTTGGCCTGACTGTGGAGGTGATTAGGCAGGATTTAGGACTTCTCACCCTGACTGAGGATATGGCCTTAGATAGGAACCTTTGGAGAACTAGGATTAGAGTAGCTGCATAGGAGCTCGGTGCTGTAGAGGTTGTTTTGTAGTGTGTTGTGTTTGTTTGGAATCTTTTGATATTGCTTGTACTTGTTGCTTGTACTTGGTGCTTTATCCGTGTTATACTGTGTTCCCTTCCATATTTTTGTGCAGGTGGAGCCGGGGGTCTCTTGGAAACAGCCTCCCTACTTCCGAGTAGGGGCAAGGTCTGCGTACACACACCCTCCTCAGACCCTACTGCAGTGGGATTCACCTGGGTTGTTGTTGTTGTTGTTGTTGTGTTTTCTTTGGGTTTGATGATGGGTAGATGCTGAGTAGGGAGTATGTTTGGTCGTTGGTCATTTGGTAACTGGGTGGTATGATTTTGATGGCCATAGTGATTGATTGATGTGAGCTGGCTGTTTAAATCTGAGCATTCCATACACTCAACAGAGTTGTTCACTTGTAGTGAGTGTAGTAACTTCTGGAATTCATTCATAAGCAACATGATGTGTATTACAGACAAACATTAAAGTGACAAGTTGATATTGTAAAGCTAACATGAACGACAACCTGCAAGTTTTGAGTTTTGCTGTGATGATGCGTGATTTTCAGATCCACGACGAAGTAATTCTTGAAGGGCCATCAGAATCAGCAGAGGAAGCAAAGGCTATTGTGGTGGAGTGTATGTCGAAACCGTTTGATGGGAAGAATATTCTCAGAGTTGGCCTCTCCGTTGATGCCAAATGTGCTCAAAACTGGTATTCTGCCAAATAGGGTAAGTGTCATCGATCATCTTTTAGGCCTCTGGTATTCACTGTATTATCCTTTGCTTCCTGAATTTATAATTGGCGTATCTGTCTCTTGTGTGTATATTTGTATCTGTATTTGCATGGTAGATAGAATGGGAAAATATCAGCCATATTTTGGCAAACCAATGGAGAGAAAATAGTTGTAATTGACAACTTTTAGCTTGGGGTGAATAATTGACTAAATCAAGATAACACATTAAACATTCTTTTCTTCTTATTTTCGATGAAGTTTTGGGTAGTAAATGCATCAATGCATCAAGGGTCTAACAAGAAAGAGCCCCTTCTGCATTTTACATGAGTAAGACTGCATACATTTTCACCCAGACCGACAAAGTTGGGATTATATTGGATTGTTGTTGGAGATGCATAGGAACTTTGTGATAATGAATCTTCACTTGATTATTGCCAATTACACTATGTTAGGAAATTGAAGTTAAGGGGCTGTTTGTGTTTAGCATTAGAGTTGTGAATAATCATATTCATTTGATAGTGCGAATTCACATTTTGGACAGCTTTTTTAGAAGGCTAAAAGATAACTTTTCTCAAAACGCCAAAGCTCATTTATATAGCCTAAAACCAAATAGCCTAAATCAAATATGTATGCTCATCTAGTTACAAATGGTTTCATTTGAAGGATATTCTTGGGATCTGCCAAGAAGATCAGCATTTGTGCAACAAGCCGTCGCTCCTAGCCACGTATGTCTCTAGCAGCAACTCTAACAATTTTGGCTCCACGGGCCACCACTACCACACGTGTCTATGGGTTCGAAAGTCACTGCCAGGCCGAGCTGGAGACAGACATCAGAGTTCTTAACACTCTGTTTAGTTCTGGTTGTTAGATAGGAAAGGGAATGAAAGGAAAATCAAACTACAGATTTGAATATTGTTTGGTAGCAGAGAAATTGGTGAAGAAATTACTTGTTGATAGCTAGCATCTTTGTTTGGTTGTAAAGAAAGCAATGGAAGACATTGTACGAGTCGGGAATATGTCGAGTCGGTCAAATATACTGATCCAAAGTAGACCTGGCAAAACTGACCCAGACCCGATAGCCCGAACCGAATAACCCGGAACCGAACCCGATTTGACCCGAAAACTGAAGAACCGAAATAGAACCGAACACCCGAAATGATCCGAACCGAACCCGAACCCGAACCGAATGTATTCAGACCCGATTCCGATTAAACCCGAACCGATTAAACCCGAACCCGATTAAACCCGAACCCGATTAAACCCGAACCCGGTTAAACCCAGAACCGATTAGACCCGAAACCGATTAGACTCGAAATTGATCAAATTCATTAATATTTCATTTATCAAATGAATTTGGAAGAAAAGAATTACCTATATATTTTTACATATGTTGATATGTTTCTAAAAAACATATTTAAATTATGAGTGCAAACCATGTAACTACTTTCATGTACAAATCTTTTATTTTGTACTCCGATACAAACCCGAACCGATACAAACCCGAACCGATACAGAGCCGAACCGATACAAACCTGAATCGATACAAACCCGAACCGATACAAACCCGAACCGATACAGACTCGAACCGATATAAACCCGAACCGAAACCGAACCGAAACCGAAAACCAGTCAAACCGAAATAAACCCGGAACCGAACTGACCCGACCCGAACCGAACCGATTATAACATATATCCGAAAGAGACCCGAACCGAAAAGACCCGACCCGGACCCGAACCGATTGACCCGATTGCCAGGTCTAATCCAAAGCCAATCCGACAAAAGTCGAGTTTGGTATAAAAAAATTTTAAGATCAGTTTCGTGCTTTCAAATATTTAATCTTTCAATTTAGATTCTGATATTATAAACTATGATCGAGTTAATATAAGTCAGATTCGGGCAGGATTGTCAAGCCTAAGGGAGGTAGTAGCATTTTTATGCAAGAGAGTATGGAGTTGGAGTCTTTGGGAATTGGGATCATACACTTGATGGCATTATGGCAACACGTGCCATGGACATGGTCACGGGCCGTGAATCAATTTCCGAGGAGAAAGGGGCAATAAAGTGTGAGGATAGGTTATAAATGCAAAATATAAGGTTCAAATTTTTTTTTTTATTTTTATTTTTTTGAAATACTATAAGGTTCAATTTTAATTGCACTACTAATAATATCAACAAATTAAGCTTGGTAGTACTAGAGCATAACATCTTTCTTGAATTTACAATTGAGTTGTTTTCTTGAGTTTATATTGGGATCTTATTATTTAAGAGATCACGAGTCCAATCATCACTGTCATCTAATTTGAAAAAAATTAATATTGACCCTTTGATTGAGTTGATTTCTTGCCCCCAACACTCAAATGGAAGAGTACATAAAACTAATGCTCTATAGCTTCCAAAATTGACTCCAAAATCAAAATTAATTTTGGAAGTGCAATTGAAAGGGGTGAGGAGTGTGTTCGTGTCGAGATAGAGTGAGAGTTTTCTGGGGGGATTAGGGAGTAGAAACGGTCAATCTGATCGTAGCATCCCTAGATCATTCCATGACATGAGATTCAAATGTCATAGGAACCCTTCCGACATAAAAATAGGTTTGGGAACACTTCTTAGTTAGTTAGTTCACCTCATTGGCCATTTTAATGGTCTGCAAGCAAAGCATATACGGCAAGACAGTGAATGGATTGGGCTCCCACCCTAACCAACCCCTTAATATTTGCCTTCATTTTTTTCTGTCAAATGGGGGAACATTCATTGATTCGAGATAGGACGTGAGTGCCATTCCAATTCCATTCTTGCATTGCTTGCCAAATTCAATTTCTTGTTCATTTTTTAAATTTTTTGGAATCAAAGTTGATAAATTTTGAACATTAATTAAAATAAAATAACTAACATATGAATAATATATGAAGAAAATATTAACATACGAGTTTCATTTTTATTTTCAAAATAATCGTACCAAAATAAGATTTCTAAGAATAAACGTATAATACCTAAAAATATTATAATTGTCAAATTGTTACTCCCTCTGTCCTAAAACTTTCTTCCCAGAGCACTATTCCAACTTCACGGGAATTTATATTTATTTGTGTTTTTTCATGGCCTATATGATAAAATAAAATATTCTTGTCACCACTTGTTTTGTTGAACTTTTGATGTAGTTTTTAAATATGTATATTTTATTTTTTATTTCTATACCAATATTTAAATAAAATAGATTGAAAAAACGTGGGATTTTTCTTCGTTTTACGCAACGAGAAGAAAGATATAGGATGGAGGGAGTACTTTGTATTAGTCTTACTTTGTGATTAAATGCATGAAACTCCTACGTCAAATCGATCAAGATTTGTTAAAATTCTCGTGGGCCGGCAACAACGGTTAAAATTAACCACTTGTTTATAAAGTCATAATTTACTTTTTAACTCAAAAGATTAAAATGATATTCTTTTTTATTTTCTGATATGGGAACTCCAACACTTCTCAAATGATAACTAACATGGTCTAGTTATCACTTGGATAAACAAGTCTAACATCTCAATCTTTTATAACTAATTAAAACAACGAGCGATGACTTCTCATTCTCATATAGTCAACTCAATCCAAACCACGGACAGATAACTCATATCGCTAAACCTACGTCGTCCAAACAACCAGAAAGAATTGAACCCAGACCGGAACTGCTTTGACACCATGTTAAAATTACAGTGGGTACACCGACAAAAACATGTAGAGTGTCAGGTAAAATTAACCACTTGCATATAAAATCAAGATTTGCTTTCTAATCCAAAAAGTTAAGCTGATAAATAAAGGTTCATCCAAAAAGTCGGGATAAACAAGTAAAATTAACCACTTGCATATAAAGTCGAGATTTGCTTTCTAATCCAAAAAGTTAAGCTGCTAAATAAAGGTTCATCCAAAAACTCAAAATAAATATATAAAATTAACCACTTGCATTTAAAGTCAGATTTATTTTTTTAATGTGAAAACTCTAATATGATTGATTATAAAAGGTTAAAGCTAAATAAATATAGTCGGAGAAGAGAGCAATATAATCCATGCTCCTATATAAACCCACACAAGCCCAAATTGTATATATAGCTTATAATACAAGCCAAGAAATATACAAATGCAGCTGAGATAAATATATTGTTGAACTTTGTTTTTCTCATTTGGGAAACAATGTATATGGGTTGCCGGAGAGTTATCTATGCCACCATTTTAGTGGCGGCGACATTGTGGGGGCGGTCGGAGGCGGGGCGGGCTTTCTTCGTGTTCGGGGACTCGCTGGTGGACAACGGGAACAACAACTACCTGATCACCTCCGCCAGGGCCGACTCTCCGCCCTACGGCATAGACTACCCCACCCACCGCCCCACCGGCCGCTTCTCCAACGGCTACAACATCCCCGACCTCATCAGTAAGCTTTTATTTACTGATTAATTAATTAATCACTCACAATGTCTCCAAAAGATGATCTTCCATTTGTACTGTTTAATAAATTCATTTCGAAATTTAGTTTTGGAATATTATTTTTTTTAGTATATTTTTATACTGAAATAGAAATATTAATAGTTAAAAATAAATAAATAAATATGGTGCAGGCGAAGCGATGGGGTCAGAGGCAACAATGGCGTACTTGAACCCGGAGCTTAAGGGCGAAAAGCTGTTGGTTGGCGCCAATTTTGCTTCCGCCGGCGTCGGAATCCTTCCCGACACTGGCTTCCAGTTTGTACGTGCCGGCGGACCAACCTGCTATTATATATATATATATATATATATATATATATATATATACCTCACCACATATAATAATACTCTTTAATTATGTTCCAAAATAAAAAGCATGAGATTTTATTTCACAAATTAAAATTTGTTGACAACATTAATTCAATTCCTGGAACGTGACAATTCTGAGAAATTGTTTCGTTTAGAAGAATTTAAAAATTTACAAGTCATGCACTTATTCCTCGTTCTTTTTATGCAAAACAAATTAAATCCTCCTTTGTCAATTTCAACAATGCACACGAGACATATATAATTGTGTGTACAAATGTGTGTGTGTGTGTGTGTATGTGCAGGCAAACATAATAAGAATCGGACAACAATTGCAGATGTTCGAGGCGTACCAGGCGAGAGTGACAAGCTTGGTAGGCAGGGAGGCGGGAGTGAGGCTCGTAAACCAGGCGCTTACGCTCATATCCCTCGGTGGCAACGACTTCGTCAACAACTACTTCTTGGTCCCCATCACCGCCCGCCGCCTCCAGTTTAACAACATTCCCAACTACTGTCGATACCTCGTCTCCGAGTATCGCAAGATCCTGATGGTAATCCTTTGTTCTTCAATTCTCGTGAATCAAAAAATTGTGTTTCATTACGAAACTATTAATGTTGGTGTAATCAACCATTTAGCATTTGGTTAGTTGATTAGTTACATAGTTTGTTAGTTAGTTAGGAAGATATTTTTGGTTGTTGCTTCTTTTTCATTTTCTATATATATGAGTTAATCATGTAATACAAAAGTTGAGCTAGTTAATACACTTAATTCCAACAATTAATTATGTGTATTTTTCTTTGAATTGAATTGGATCGGAAGAGGCTATATGAGTTGGGGTGCAGGAGGGTTCTGGTGACTGGGACGGGTCCCATGGGGTGCGTCCCGGCCGAGCTCGCCCGGATGAGCACGAACGGGCAGTGCGCGGCGGAGCCGCAGGAGGCGGCGGCGGCGTTCAACCCGCTCCTGGCCCAAGTGCTGGCGGACCTCAACCGGCAGCTCGGCGCCGACGTCTTCGTCTCGGTCAACGCCATGCGGATGCAGGAGGACTTCGTCGCGAGCCCCGAGTCCTACGGGTTCGTGACGTCCAAGGTGGCGTGCTGCGGGCAGGGCCCGTACAACGGGATTGGGCTCTGCACGGTGGCGTCCAACCTCTGCCCGGACCGGGACCAGCACGCGTTCTGGGACCCGTTTCATCCCTCCGAACGGGCCAACCGGATCATTGTCCAATCCATTTTGACCGGAGCAAATCACTACATCTCTCCTATGAATTTAAGCGCCATTTTGGTCATGGATTCAAATGAGTGACTGAAGAAAAATTCCTCCATCGATCCTACAGCTAGAAAATGGGTAGTAGTGTAGAATTCAATAATAATTTATTTCCTTCGTGCCACTCTTGAGTCTTGATTGAGAACTCCTTTCTGAAAAAATATTGTTTAATTAACATTCTTGTTAAGTGAGAACCTAGTATGTAGAATCTATTATCATAACGGATGTTCATTTAGATATATCTGTTCCAATCTATTTTTTAGATATTCGAAATTTTTGGATCGTCAAATTTTTATATCTTGAGATTGTATAAACTTTTATATCGTGAGATTGAATAAATTTATGCCCCAACATAAATCATCTCATACTAAATTTGGTTTTCGTGCCGGGGCGGATCTACGGGGGCAGTCGCCCCAGTCAATTTTTTTCATTTCGTAAAATAATTTTTTTTGTGGAGAATTATAAAGAACGACTCTGGTAAAAAATTAGTTTGCCACCACTGACAAAAAAAATCTTAGTATAAAAGTAAAAACATATACAGGTAAAATATTTGAAATATCATAATTATATGTTTCAATTGTATGTTACTAACTCAAGGAACAAAATTTAGGAAACAAATGAAGCAATACTTTTAAATTGAGATTTTTGTTTCTAGACATTTTCTTTTTATTTATTTTGGGTATATTTTATTTCTTTATTTTTGTTTTTTTTAATAAAAAATGATCAAAAACGATCAAAAAAATTAGAACAACAAAATATCAAAAAAAGAAATAAAAATAAGACATTTGTTATTAATAAAAAAGATAAGAAACTTATAAAAACATTCACACAAAAAATCGTCAATCCAACAGACAAACAAATTCTTTTTTCCAACCTTAAAGAACAAATTCTTAGTAATAATTTAAGCTTAGTAAAATTAGATTTATTTTAAAATATAATTTTGCTATATCAAATTTTTCTAATATATAATTATAGTATTTAAAATTATATTTTATTTATTATCAAACTGTAGTAGAATTTGAATAAAAATGTCAAAATGTAGCGATTGTTGTAAGACAAGAAAACTACGGAGTACTCCCTCCGTCCTAAAACTTTCTTCCCAGAGCATTATTCCAACTTCACGGGAATTTATATTTATTTGTGTTTTTTTCATAGTCTATATGATAAAATAAAATATTCTTGTCACCACTTGTTTTGTTGAATTTTTGATGTAGTTTTTAAATATGTATGTTTTATTTTTTATTTCTATACCAATATTTAAATAAAATGGATTAAAAAAACTTGAGATTTTTTTTCGTTTTGCGCAACAGGAAGAAAGATATAGGACGGAGGGAGTATGGGTAAATTTCACAAATGGTACCTGAACTTTAGCTGGAATTTCGAAGTGATACCTGAACTTCAAATCCTTTCACAAAAATCCCTGAACTTACACAATCCTTTCACTAATGAGCCATTAGCCCGTTTCTAGGTTAACTTCCGGTCATTAGGGCCAAATTCGAATTTTATATATTTTAAAATTTTCAATTTGACCCCATTTCTTCTTTTCTTTTCTTTCACGCCCCGCCGCCGCCGCCCGCCGGTCAAAGTCGCCAAAAAATGAACTTTTCCCGATTCCGGCGGGACCAATGTCATTCTCTTCGTCTTGAG